ACTCTGAGTTGGAGTCCAGCAATCTGTGTTTTAATAAACCTTCCATGTGATTCTGATGTACGCCGAAGTTTGAAAACCACAGAGCTACTCAAAACCAGAGTGACCTAAACAAAATAGAAGTTCATTTCTTACTACTCGTCTTAGTCCATCAGGCTGCTGTGTCATAGACTGGGTGCTTTATAAACAACAGAAATTTCTTTCCCACAGTTCTGGAGGCTGAGAAGTCCAAGATCAAGGTAGTGGCAGATTCTGTGCCTGGTGAGGACTTGCTTCCTGGTTCAGAGACAGCAGCTTCTCGCTGCGTCCTCACCTGGTGGAAGGGGTGAGGGAGCTCTCTGGGCTGTCTTTTATATGGGCCCTACTCTCATTCACGAGGGCTCCACCTCATGACCTAACCCTCTCAAAGACTCCACCTCCTAATACCATCACATTGGGGTTAGGTTTCAACATATGAATTTTGGGGGTATGCAAGCATTCAGTCTATATAGCACTAATGTATTAGTCCATGCATCAGCAGTCTAGGGGTGACACGGCAGCTCCATGATGTCAGTGACCCTAGCTCACTGTATCTAGTCACTGTGCTACCCTCAAAATGGAGCTCCCATCTCATGGTCTACAGTGGTTCCTGAGTTTGAATTCTCTTCCCCACATTTCAGCCAGTGGGAGAGAAGAAGCATCAGGAGAGTGTGCCTCCTCCTTCTAGGTCATGTTCTGGGAATTGCACACATTATGTCTGCTTCCATCCCATTGACCATAACCTAGTCACATGGTCACACCTCGTCACATGGTCACCCCTAGTCATCTTTACTGGGTAGCACGGACCCAATTACAACCTGGTGGTTAGGGGGTTCTATTACTAAGCAAAAAAAGGGGTGAATGGATTTTGGGAATCAATTGGTAATCTCTTGGGAAGTTCTCTGAAGGGAATTTTATCTTTTACTCAAATCATTCCATTCTGTTTTCCATTCAGATCCAAATTTCTAGTAAGTGTTTAAGAGCAGAGGAATTTTTAAAGAAAGATACAGCCAACTCGTTTTTTAATAAAGGAAAATGATCCTGAGCTTGGGAGTTGGAGAAACTTGGATTTGAATTCAGGCTCTTCTCCTTAGTAGCTCTGCTTGCTTGGGTACCTCTCTGAGCCTAAATGTTGTCATCTACAAAGTTGTGAAAGTGGGTCAGAGCGAAGGTTAGAAATAATGCATGTAAATCTCTTAACATGGTGCTGGAGAGTAATGGGTGCTCAGCAATAAGTAACAATAGCTGTTCTTCTTTCTATTTTCCCCTTAAAATTTAGTAAAATAATCCATGACATTAATTAAAATGCATAAGACAGCTTTGTATCTTCTACAGTTAGACCATAAATAAGGCCACTTGGTCTTAAGTATGCAAATGGAGTGTCCTATTAAGCTTTCTATTTATTCATTTATAAGGGTGTCTCATTACCTAATTTAATGGCTTTTTATGAAAAAATTTGAAAAAGCCTTATCTCAATTTGAGTATGCCAAGGCATTCCTGCAGTTTTCATGGTTTAATAAAGAAGATAAGAGCTGGAATGCCTCTCGGAGGGGAAAGAAATCTATCTTTTTGCACAGTTTGTCCTTGAGTTCATGCTCCATGCTTTTGACAGCTCTTTTTTAGTTTCGATGCATGGCCCTCTATGTGTATGACCTGCAACCCCAGAGGTCGAGAATCGAGCCTTACTTCTGTAAAACCCTGTAGGCCTGTGTCCAGACCCCCACTACGGTGGGGTCTGCCTTGTGCAGTGCTGTGGTCGGCTGGCTGTGGGATGCGTCCCCCCTGCGCTGGGAGTCCTCGGACAGGGCCTTGCTCTTCCATGTGTACGATCAAGTTGGCACCTTGCACAGGGCTTGAGCTCTATAATTATTTACTAAACAAATGCAAGTTTCAGCAGAATCCACATGTAGGGGCAATACAAAAAGCACATTTAAAGCAACACATCGAAAAACTATTTAATATTTGTAGCCAAGAAGCAAGTATATTGTCATTAAGTGCTATATTTCTACTTTATATAACAATTGATTTTCCAATTCTTACTAAATGAAAAGGTCTTTGTGTATTACCTGGCTTTATAACAAAAATGTTTTTCTTCCCTCTCTCTCTCTCTTTCTCTTTTTTAGTAGCTCTGGCACATAGATGGTTTTAAGAAAGAAAAGTCATTGACAAAATAACGTGGAACTGAAGTTTATAAGTTTACAGAAAGGTTTTGGTATGTAATTAGGCTCATTTAATCAGTGATACATACAGTTTACTATTATGATGAAGATTAGAAATGGAGACACCTCTTTCTGCTGTCCTCTGTCATTTTTGCCATTTTATTGTAGACTGGTACCACCAATGTTTTATTTATTTATGTGATAGCCTAGGAAGTAGGCACTATCCCTGATTCCTATGGTGGGGTAGATAGCCTTTCTGTATGCTGTGATACGACATGTAATGGGTCTATCAAATTAAACAGCATGACTCAGATGTACAAAAAATGTTATTGCTGTATTTTCCGTAACTGATTTCATATTCCTCTTTGGTCCTCATTCCCAACACTGAGGGAGGGAGAGCAGGAAGAGCTGAGTGGAAAAGTATAGAGTCAGGGTGGAGGGAAGTGTATCAATCAATTCCCCCTGCACCTTGTCCCCTTTCGTACAGAGACCTCCAAGCGCAGGTGCCTGGGCTGGAAATGCAGATATGATATGAGCATGGCTGGCCCGGAGTGACTGCAGCTTCTTCCGAGATTGCAGTTCACTCCCTGTGCACCAAGTCTGACGTGAGGAGGGCAGCTTTTCCCTCTTGAGGCCCGCTAGGCAAAACCTTCGGACTTGTCCATGGTGGGCCTGAAAGATAACATGTCAGATTGTGGCCTAGAGCTGGACTCCTCAGATTTTGGCTATGCTAGGTATTCTGCATTTGCACTTGAGCTTTAGAATAAGTTTGCCTTTTTCAACAAAAAATCCTGCTGGAATTTTCATTGAGATTGTGTTGAATGTGTAGATCAATTTGGAGAGAATTGGCATTTAACAGGATTGAGTCTTCAACCAAAGCATAATTGCAAAATAACAAATCAAAGCAGTGTGTACTAGTTGGGGAATATGGACTATATAAAAAAGCATCTTAGTACAGAGAAAGAGAGGATTAGGTGGGTCATCTGAAGAAAAGAAGTCTTAGTGATGAAAACACCATCACTGAAGGCATATTTAATTCTCTCCTCAAGAAATAAACAAAAAACCTAAATGTCATAAGAAACCCCCATTTTATGAAAAGAAGCTTTGAAATAAATTAAAGTATATATTTTTAAAAAATGTTTATTTTTTGGCTGGGCGTGGTGGCTCATGCCTGTAATCCTAGCACTCTGGGAGGCCAAAGCGGGAGGATCGCTCAAGGTCAGGAGTTCGAGACCAGCCTGAGCAAGAGTGAGACCCCCATCTCTACTAAAAATAGAAAGAAATTAGTTGGACAACTAAAAATATATAGAAAAAATTATCTGAGCATGGTGGCACATGCCTGTAGTCCCAGCTACTCGGGAGGCTGAGGCAGGATTGCTTGAGCCCAGGAGTTTGAGGTTGCTGTGAGCTAGGCTGACGCCACGGCACTCTAGCCCGGGAAAAAAAAAAAAAAATGCTATTTTTTGTAATTATAAAAGTAACAGTCATTGGAACACTTGAGAACACTGTAACAATGTAGAACATTTACAAAAGTTTAAAGAAAATGAAATAGAATCCCACTACTCTAACAACAAAACTGCAACATTGTTTCTATTTTTCTCGTTTTCAAGTGCCTGTGTAAACGGCAGTAGTTGCATTTTATACTATGTATACACATACGTATATTTTTTCACTTTAAATAATTACATCTCAACATTAAACGTTCTTCAGCTCTTAGTTACAGAGTATTTCTGACATGTTAAACTTCATACAATCAACTACAAAACACAGAAAAGGCAAATCAGTATGTATCAAATGGCAGTAATAAAAAAATACAAAATATTTCCTTTGACATAATGACTTTAGTTTTTCAAGTGCTTAACAGTGACCAGGCCCTCACGAGTCTAGAAGAGACACCTTGGGTGTTTTCAAGAAAGGCCTGTAGAACCTCCTTGGCATAATCTCATAGCAAAAACAAGAGTAAGTTTAGGCATGATTTTGCCCAGGGGAAATCTAAATTACAAAATAAATGCTTTAGTCTTTTAAATGTTGTATGTCTGGCAACACACTGTACTTTACAATACAATAGCGCTAATCTTCCTGTCCTTATTATACCTGTAGTTCAGACCACATGAAAACAAAGCGGTAACTAAACCCACGGGAGAGAGTTTGGGTCAAAGCCTTCCCGTTTCTGTGGGAGCTAATCTGAAGTTCCTTCCGTCATCTGAGACTATCCACCTACTTTGACAGAACATTTGTGTAGAACCAAAGTCTCACATATATAACTCCCATCTGGCTCCAACCACCTTACGTTTAGTTTGAAACTTTGTCACAGGAACACATGTTATCTCGTATGATTTGAGAAACAAGAATGGTCCAACAGCACCATGAAGTTCACCCGAACTGCATTAACAGTGATGTTAGTGCCTCGCCCCCTTACTTCCCTTCTGTAAAATGGGTTTAAAATATATTTATGTATGTGTGTGCATATGAGTATACATATAACGTAATACTGAACACATCTTCCCTATTGCGTGCTTTTTGAGACCTGTGCATAGTTTCCACTTTGGATCAATGGGAAGGAATCCCTTTGATGATCTGTCATTATATATAACGGCTCCAATGGAAAGTGACACACATTTGCTTAGCTGTCCTCAAGGCAGGTCCTCTCACATCTTACTGGGCATACTGAACAACTGCCAAGGAGGTGGGGAAAGAGTCGAACTCTAAAATCAAACGGTATACCACAAGGCTCGGCACTATTTTTTGGCCTCAGCCGCTTCACGTATTTCGCGCAATTAGTGCACTCGGTCCCCGCCTGAGAACTTTGACTCCCTGGGCGCCACACCGGACCGCGCACCCTCTCAGGGGAAAGGACACGCCCTCGGGGACAGCCCGTTGGGACCCGGCCTTGGGCAACCTCGGTTCCCGGCGGCCGCCGCCCGCCCGCGCGGACCAGCCCCGGACTCCGCAGGCGGCTGCTCCTCCTGAGGCCCCGCCGGCCCGCCGCCCCCCCGGACGCCCCTCAGCCGGCGCCCGCCCATGCTCTCGGCCACCGGGAGGGCCCGCCAGCTCCTCCACAGCCTCCTTCCCGTCGCGAGGATGGGCGAGTCGGCCTCCAAGATCGTCAGCCCCCAGGAGGCCCTGCCGGGCCGGAAGGAGGCGACCCTCGTAGCAGGTAAGGCCGGGGCACGCCGAGGGCGCGGGCGCCGCCACTGCGCATGCGCGCCAGCCCCGGCGGCCGAGCGTCTCCCGCCTGCCCGGAAGGAATCGGCGGGCCGGAGGTCCGGGGCCTGCGCAGGCGCGAGGGGGCGCCGGCTGGGACGTGGGCCGCTGTCTGACGCTGGGCTCGGGCCCGCGCTCCTCTGCCTCTTTGTTTAGCTCCTCACCCCGTAAAACAAAACTGAACACGTTGAAGGAATCGCGTACGTGGGTCTAGCTCATCTGGGGGCAGATGCCCCGGCGGCCTGGGGCAGTGGGCGGAGCAAGCGCCGTGGGGTGTCTGCCCTTCTTCGACCGTGCGCCGCCCACCTGTCCCCGGCCGCTGGGGTCTCGCCACCTTCAGCGGTGGTCCCCTGGGTGTTGTCCCAGGAAGCTCCGGAAGGAGACAAAATGATGAAACTTCAGTTGTGCAATTGCGCCTCAGGCCAGTGTTCCGGCTGCAAGAATTGTCCGCAGCCTCCCGGTGTCCTCGGGGCTGCCTGGCTGTCCCCCACTCGCCGGGACTGTCCCCCAGACCCTGCGCTCCCCGGGCTGCGTGCGTGATCAGCCGTGCGGAAGTGCCCTTTTAGAGCAGTGTTTCTCAAACTTCCGAAACTTTTTAGTGTTTCTCAGACCAATGCTTTGGGAAAATACAATAACAGTAGAATACTAGAATAATGATCACGTGCTTGGATGCCTCTTAATGTTAGACTGCTATAAAGTGTTCGAAAGCTGACTCTCAGTTTTTGGCGGAGACAGCACGGGTCCACCAGTAGGAGGACCATACTTTGAGTAGTATTTCCTTAGGGCTTCTCTAAGTGTGTTTCCCCATCACCTGGGGATGTCCTCACCCCTGACTACTGAAGCAGAGACTCCTGGGGGGAAGAGCCCAACAATCTGTCTTTAAAGCAAGATCTCCACGTGATTTTAATGCACGTGGGCTAGGGTTTTTTAACTCCTGCCTTAGAGCCGTTGGAGGATTAAGTGATGTTTAATCTTTTACATATGGCTCAATGCCAAAGAAATCCAGCATTTAAAAATTTCCTAAGCATTCTATTTTTCTTTTCCTTAAAGAATTGTTGGGTATAGGAGGAGATCATATTAAGGGTTTGTCATATCATAGAATACTCGGTATGAGATTAGAGAAGGTTTTTTGGATTAGAGGCAATCTGGAAACCGTGTGACTTGTTTCTTATTCGCCTGGTTAGCAGTTTCTATTCCCTCTGTCCACCATCATTTCACCTCCAACTCGTCCCCCAGCCTTAGAAGTTTATTTTTGACTCAAATTCAGAAATTGAGTTTTGAAAAAAGTCCAGATTATCTTTAAAAGTATATAATATATAATCAGATTGTCTAAAGCTATAAATTTATCTTAAAAATTCCTTCACAATCCTGTACTCATAAATGGACATTTAGCAGCAATGCTTTCTAAATGCTGAACTTCCTCAGCTTGTACTATAATTCCTCTTCACACACTACAGTGTCTTCTCTGTGCCCTCACATACGCCGAGAAAAAGAAGAATCCAAAAACTCTTGATCAGATTTCCAAACTGGTTCAAGACCAAGGTTAACCAAAATTTAGTTCGGCTTTGTCTTAACCAAAGTCTTCCCAATCAGTTTCCCGGTATATAAATGACATTTTTGGTAAAAGATTAACAAACATTTCAGAAACGAGCCAAAAATTTCATATCCACATGATTAGTTTAACTGCAAAACCTCAGGACCTGGTTCCTTTCCAGCTTCTTCTGTCTTTTCATATAGCTGTGACTATTTTTCGTACACTGACACATCTCTGTATGTGGGCCAGTAAACTGCTTTTTTTTTTTCTTTTTTGGTATAGAGCCAAGCCTGCAATGCATATGTCCTTATTGTTCATCTGTTATAACTTTTTCCCCAAAAAGTATTTAAATTTTAGATTGTGGCTCTTCCAATCTCCACTTTTGGGTGTATTCCTGCCTTGACAGGTTGCTGAAAGTTCTGAGTGGCCCCAGAAATGGGCAGTGTTATCTCTTAAGTGGGTTTCGGTGGCTGTAAACTTGAAACTTAAGGACTTGATATTACTGTTTTGAAAGTTGAATTCATCTTCACTGCAACTTCCCTCCTGTTTAACAGTTCTTCACATCTCTATATTACCTCTACGTCTGTTGTTATTTGCACACTGACTCTCAAAAGTTCTGTGACAAAAACGTCACCTTTTGGCTTCAGAAGACAAGGCCTGTCTGTTCAGTGCCTTTTGCTTGGCCTAGTATCAAGTGTGCACTATTACCAAATACTTTTGGTGTTAAGGGTTATCATTTTAGCTTTAATCCTACTGTTTTTGTATTCTTAAGGAAAATTCCACACTTTCATAAACTGTGGCCTAGTAATAGATCTCCACTTACCAAGAAGGTAAGAGTCAAACTTTCAAACTTTCAAAATGCTTAATTTCTCCCAGGGTACCTAAAATGGATCAAGACATGAATAGGCCTACTTTGGTGATTGGTGAAAACTGACACTGTACTCGACTGCCTCATTTGCACCATGCTCTGTTGAGGTCAGGGGTGGCTTCTGGACAGCCCTAGCTGGCTGGTAGGGCACCCAGCAATGTACCTGGCCTGCTCTGTGGTGGTGGTCTCGTTCTGCATCAGTACCTGCCCACAAGACAGTACTCCGAGTACCTGGGGACTGAGGGAAAAGGGGAATTCATACTTGTTGAACTGCACTGGTGGGCAATTGTTAGAGATAGGCTGGAGGTGGAAGGCTTGTAATTAAAACCTCAGAGTGCCTCCTGTGTTGTTAAAATGTGAGTTCATTATAGTCAGAACTAAAATCTTATTTCCAGTGAATTAATAATTGTAAAAGCCCAATGGAACCTTTTATTTTTATATGGAACCTTTATTTATTTGTTTGGTTATTAGAAAAATTACTAATGAATCTTTTTGCAAAGCATAAGTGGAATCAGGTCGTTGGGGATTTGGAGATATTTAAAACAACTTTGGCAAGTCCAATTCAGTTGCTATTTCTTGCCTTTACATTCTTAGATAATGTTCACTGTATTTTTTGTTGCAATACTTTTTTTGGGGTGGAAACAGATGTAGAACACTATCCGAAGGTATCCTCTTTTAAGAATTTTAAATATAAATAGAAAAACAGTAGAACACTATATTAATACTAAAGGTGGCTCTTTATAAAAAAGTTGAACTGCAGCAATAAAATTAATAGATGATTAGATAGTCTAATCAAGAAAAAAAGGAAGAAAGAACAGATACACAAAGTAAGAACTGAGAAGAGGAGTCATAGAAACACAGTTTAAAGAATCATAGGGCTGGGCGTGGTGGCTCATGCCTGTAATCCTAGCACTCTGGGAGGCCGAGGCCGGCAGATCGTTTGAGCTCAGGAGTTCGAGACCAGCCTGAGCAAGAGCGAGACCCCGTCTCTACTAAAAAAATAGAAAGAAATTAGCTGGACAACTAAAAAAATATATGTATATAAAATTAGCCGGGTCTGGTGGCACATTCCTGTAGTCCCAGCTATTTGGGAGGCTGAGGCAGGAGGATCGCTTGAGCCCGGGAGTTTAAGGTTGCTGTGAGCTAGGCTGATGCCATGGCACTCTAGCTTGGGCAACAAAGTGAGACTCTGCCTCAAAAAAAAAAAAAAAAAAAAAACCAAAGGAATCATAGGAGACTATTTACTCTACTCTGAAAATAAATTTAAAAACTTGGGTGAAAATGATAATTTTTAGGAAAATATAATTGATCTAAATTGACCTCAGAAGAGGTAGAAAATTTAAACAGCTCGATTTTCACAGAAGTAATAAAGTTGCCAAAGAGTTACCTCCTCCTCAAGCATTGTGTTCAGACGGTTTCACAGAGAACATCTACCAAATATTTAAAGAGCAGATAATTCCAAGGCTCTTTAAACTGAAATAAACATCCAGATTCTTTTTAAGAAGCAGCTATAACATTGGAACCAAACCTGAGAAACATTGCACAAAAAAGAAAACCACAGACCAGTCTCAAGTTATGAATATTGATGCAAACTGCTAAATAAATATGAGTAAACAGAATCCGGCAAAGGAATTTAGTCCCAAAATGGGAATAAAGGAAGGATCAATATTAGGAAATCTATTAATATAATTCATCATTTAATTGATCTAAGGATAAAAATGATATAGCTATCTCCTAGATGCTGAAAAGTTATTTGACCAAATGTAACAACCATTCTTGATAATAACACTCAACAGAGTAGGAATGGATGGCTACTTCCTTAACGTGATAAAATAGTATCTATTTTAGTTCAAAGGCCAATTTTAGGCTTAATGAAGCAACATTAGAGATTTCCATTCATGTTCAGGTCAAGACAAGGATGTGAGTGCAGCTTAGTACCTAGTACCAGATGTGTACTGTTACCAGATACTTTTGATGTTATCATCTTAGTTTTTATCCTACCTTTAAAAAAGAATCCTACCTTTTTTGGATTCTTAAGGAAACTTCCACCTTTTTATTAAGGGAAACCTAGTAGTTGATTTATATTTTGTAAGAAGGTAAAACTCAAGCCTTTAAACTTTTTAATGTTTAATTTCTCCGAGGCTACCTAAATTGGATCAAAACATGAATAGGCCTACTTTGAGTGATTGGTTATTATTTTATATTATTTTATATTGTGTTGTAGGTCCTAGCCAATGTGGTCAGATAAGATAGGGCAATTAGAGATGTACAAAAGATGAAAAAAGATAGTAAGGTCTTAAATACATATGGGAATGTAGCATATGATAAAGGTGACATCTCAAATCAGTGGGAAAAAGATGAAATATTCAATAGATGATGTTGGGACAAATGGGTAGCCATATGGGAGAAAAAAGTTGGATCTATACTTCACACCTTAAACCAAGATAAATTTCAATATTTGATGGAATCAATTCCAGATATATGATAATAATAGCTTAACACTTATTGAATGTATTGCATGCCAGGTACTGTAGTAATTTACTAACATATT